AGAGAGTGGGCAGCCTTGCCTTGTCCTTGATTTCAGCGGGATTCATTTAAGTTTCTCTCCATTTAGTTTGATGTTAGCTATAGGCTTGCTGTATATTGCCTTTACTATGTTTAGATATGTGCCTTGTATCCCTGATTTCTCCAGCACTTTAAACATGAATAGATTTTGGGTTTTGTCAAATGCTTTTTCAGCATCTAAGGTGATTATCATGTGTTTTTTTTTTCTTTCAGTTTGGTAACATGTTGGATCATATTAATGGATTTCTGTATATTGAACCACTTGTGCATATTTGGGATGAAGCCTACTTGGTCATAGTGGATGATATCTTTGATGTGCTCTTGTGTTCGGTTTGCAAGTATTTTGTTGAGTATTTTTGCATCAATGTTCATAAGGGAGACTGGCCTGAAATTCTCTTTCTTTGTTGGGTTTTTGTGAGGTTTAGGTACCAAGGTGACTGTGGATTAATACAATGAGTTTGGTAGTGTTCCTTCTGTTTCTATTTTGTGGAATAGTTTGAAGAGAACTGGAGTTAGCTCTTCTTTGAAGGTCTGGTAGAATTCTGCCCTGAAAACATCTAGTCCTGGGCTTTATTTGTATGGGATACTTTTGATGACCACTATTTCCTTAGGGGATATAGGACTATTTAATTGATTTCCCTGGTCTTGATTCAGCTTTGGTTTAAGTGGAATCGAACCAGAAAATTTTTCATTTCATTTAGATTTTCAAATTTTGTGGCATACAGACTTTTGAAGTAAGTCCTAATGATTGTTTGGATTTCTTCAGTGTCTGTAGTTATGTCTGTCTTTTCATTTCTGATTTTGTTAATTTGGATGGTGTCTCTCCACCTTTTAGTTAGTTTGGCTAAGGGTTTGTCTATCTTGTTGATTTTCTCAAAGAACCAGCTCTTGGTTTCATTGATTCTTTGAATTGTTTTATTTGTTTCTAATTTATTGATTTCACCCGTGAGTTTGATTATTTCCAGCCATCTACTCCTTTTTGGTGTGTCTGCTTCTTCTTTTTTTTTTTTTTTCTAGGATTTTTAGGTGAGCCATGAAGTTGCTTGAATGAGATATTTCGAATTTCTTCTTAATGGGACTTAGTGCTATGAACTTTCCTCTTATCACTGCTTTCATTGTGTCCCATAAGATTGGGTATGTTGTGCCTTCATTTTCATTGAATTTTAGGAAGACTAATTTATTTCTTTATTTCTTCCCTGACCCAGCTGTCATTTAGTAGTAAGTTGTTCAGTTTCCATGTGTGTATAGGCTTTTTGCTATTTCTGTTGTTGTTGAGGTCCAGCTTTATTCCATGGTGATCAGACAGGATACAAGGGATTATTTCAGTCTTCTTGTATCTGTTGAGGTTCACTTTGTGAGCAACCATATGTTCTGTTTTGGAGAAGGTTTCATGAGGTGCTGAGAAGAAGGTAAATTCTTTTGTGTTTGGGTGTAAGGTTCTGTAAATGTCTGTTAGGTCCATTTGATTCATGACCTCTGTTAGAGCCATTGTTTCCTTGTTTAATTTCTGATTTGTTGACCTGTCCTTTGTTGAGAGTGGGGTGTTGAAGTCTCCCACTCTTAATGTGTGCGGATCTATGTGTGGTTTAAGTTTTATCAATGTTTCTTTTACAAATGTGGGTGCCCTTGTATTTGGGGCATAGATGTTCAGGATTGTGATGTCTTCCTGGTGGAATTTTCCCTTGATGAGTATGAAGTGTCCTTCCCCATCTCTTTTGATTAATTTTGTTTGAATGTCTATTTTATCAGATATTAGAATGGCTATTCCTGATTGCTTCATTGGTACATTTGCTTGTGAAGCCTTTTTCCATCCCTTTACCTTCAGATAATGTCTATCTTGTGGCTTAGGTGTGTCTCTTGTACGCAACAGATTGCTGGGTCCTGTTTATGCATTCATTCTGTTAGTCTGTGTCTTTTTATTGGAGAATTGAGTCCATTGATGTTGAGAGAGTTTAATGACCAGTGTCTGTCAATTCCTTTGATTTTGATGTTGGCTGTGTTAGTAAGTTCGTGTGCTTGTTTGCTTTTTTTTTTTTTTTTTTTTTTTTTTTTTTTACCATAGTGAGGTTAATTATTTCCTTTGATTTCTTGAAAGTAGCTAGTTTTCTTGTGTTGTATTTTTCCTTCTAGTGTCTTCTGTAATGCTGGATTTGTGTGTAGGTATTGTTCAAATGTGCTTTTGTTATTGAATATCTTGTTTTCTTTGTCTATGAGGAATGAGAATTTTGCTGGGTATAGTAGCCTAGGCTGACATCTGTGTTCTCTTAGGGTCTGCATGATATCCAACCAGGCCCTTCTGGCTTTCATAGTCTCTATTGAAAAGTCAGGCGTGATTTTTTTATTACACTTTATTCATTTTGTACCCCCCTATAAGCCCCTGCCTTCTCCCCTCCCAATCCCACCCTTCCTCCCCTTTCTGCATGCATGCCCCTCCCCTAGTCCACTGATAGGGGAGGTCTTCCTCTCCTTCTTTCTGATCTTAGACTATCAGTTCTCATCAGAAGTGGCTGCATTGTCATCTTCTGTGGCCTGGTAAGGCTGCTCACCCCTCAGGGGGAGGTGATCAAAGAGCAGGCCATTCAGATTATGTCAGAGGCAGTCCCTCTTCCCATTACTATGTAACCCACTTGGAAACTGAACTGCCATGGGCTACATCTGTGCAGGGGTTCTAGGTAATCTCCATGAATAGTCCTTGGTTGGAGTATGAGTTTCTGGGAAGTTCGCTGTGTTCATATTTTCTTGCTCTGTTGCTCTCCTTGTTCCTGTCCTTTCCATCTCTTGCTATTTCCCGCTTCTTAGATAAAATTCCATTCACTCTGCCTGACAGTTGGCCATCAGGCTCAGCATCTGCTTTGATAGTCTGCAGGGCAGAGGCTTTCAGAGGCCCTCTGTGGCAGGTTCCTAGGTTGATTCCTGTGTAATTCTAATGGGTTTGCCATCATATATTACTTGGCCTTTTTCCCTTGCAACTTTTAGTATTTTTTCTTTGTTCTGTATACTTACTGTTTTGATTATTATGTGGTGGGAGGATTTTCTTTTCTGGTCTAATTTATTGGGTGTTCTGTAGGCCTCTTTTACTCTTATTGGCCTCTCCTTTAAGTTGGGGAAATTTTCTTCAATGATTTTGTTGAAAATATTTTCTGGGCCTTGGAGGAGGGAATCTTCTTTTTCCTCTATTCCTATTATTCTTAGATTTTGTCTTTTTATGTTGTCTTGGATTTCTTGGACGGTCTGTGTCAGGAATTTTTTAGATTTAACATTTTCTTTGACAGATACATCGATTTCTTCTATTGTATCTTCCACACCTGAGATTCTTTCTTCCATCTCTTGTAGTCTATTGGTTATGCTTACCTCTGTAGCTCCTGTTTTCTTCCCTAAATTCTTCCTCTCCATTATTTCCTCCATTTGTGTTTTCTTTAATTTTTCCACTTCTATCTTCACATCTTGAGCCGTTTTGTTGATTTCCTTCACCTGTCTGACTGTATTTTCCTGTTTTTCCTTCAATTCCTTTAGCTGTTTGTTTGAACAGTACTCTGTTTCTTTTATTTCTTTCAGTGATTTAAGCATTTCCTCTCTATAGGCCACAAACTGTTTGGCTGCAAATTCCTGCATTTCTTTACGGATGGCCATAATCTCTTTGTCCTTATCTTCCTCTATTTCTTTATGGATGGCCATAATCTGTTTGAGTTTATCTTCCTCTAGGTCTTTACCCATTTTATGTGTTTCCTCTGTTATCTTCTTCATGAGTATAGATGTTAGGTCATCTTCTTGAATTATTCTGGGGTGTCCAGGACTGCTTGCCCCTGGATAACTGGATTCTGGAGATGCCATATTGCACTGTCTTTTGTTGGTTGAGCTTTTATGCTGGCCTCTACCCATTTGGCCATCTTAGGTGTTGGGTTTTGGTTTCTGGTGGTTCTTGGAATTCTGTTGTGGAGAGAATCCCCTTGGTAGGAAGATGGTTTTCCTGAAGGAAGCGTCCTCAGCTTTTTGGGTATGGTCACTGAATGGTCAGTGTTTTTCACGAATTGCCACAGTTCACCTCAGGCGTAGAGACCTGAGTGGTGACTGTGGTCCTTGTTAGTCAAGGGGGTTCTCCTCTCACCCGGAGAAGTCGTGGAGACAGCTGCCCTGCTTCTGGGTTTCTTGCTGTAAATCTGGTGAGCTGCTACTGTAACCTGGGAAACATGATCGCAGTTGTTTTAGGGTCCCAAGTTCAGTCTCTTGGTTGCTGTACCAAAAATGTTGTCCTGCTCCTCAGATGCCTTCTGTCCTCCTTGTGTAACCGTCTTGTCACCACCCCCATTGTCATAATTTTGAGATAGGAGTTACAATAAAATTTTAAATTAAATTTGTTTTGGATTATTTTAAATGGATAGATATTAGGCTTTCAACTACTTTCTGAAGACTATTTTTCAAATTGATTAAATATACCCCTTATATTTCAAAGAACTAATCCATAATAACAGAATAAATTACTGTGCACATTGCTCACTAATGATGACTACACTTCAGAATTAGACATGTGATCCAACCAAAAGATCAGTTTTAAACTACTCTTTTGCTCTGAGCAGAAGCTACAGTATGTGTGATGATGTAGTGGTGGGCCTGACTAGACCCAGGTGTAGTGGGACATGCAGAACAACTAACCAGTTGTATTCATCCCTAAAATGCTGGAGTAAGTAGAGTCAAGATACCTTTTCTAGGTAGAGAGTGATGGAGAAGAAATGAACCACTTTCATATCCCTTAAAAGGCCCAACAATTTTTTTTTAATTTCTGAGGGAATTTTATACCATTTCTAATTATTTTTCTACGAAGGAAGGCCCTTTTAATCAGTACAGAAAGAATGGCTTTGATTTGGAATATGTTTTAAAAGCAGAGCTATTTATCTTCACATCATATACAATGTTTTTTTAGTGTTGATCAACATTCATTACAATGTTATTACACACTTACTAAGATTTCATTTGTTCTTTTCACAGATTTCAGGAAACCTTACTGTGCCTTGGATTACAGGGTGTTCTAGGAAAAGAGCAGTAAGTAATCTTTGGTTTATCACAACAAATGAGTTTCCTCTCATAGTCTTAGTGGGAATATCATTGAAAATTTTTATGATTTTTATATAACTAGTACATGGTAACTTTGATAAAGCTGAATTGTCTTAGAAAACATATTTCCAGATCAAAATATCTAATCTTTAAAGACAACTTTAATTAAAATTCAGAAATAAACATACTAAATATCTTGTGGGCAGAACTTTCTGTTTAAAAAAATTATATTTTTATTTGAAAGTTTTTTATAATATAATTTATAAAATAATGCCTAAATAAAAATGAAAGAAAATGGATTTATAACTAAAAGAAAACCATTTAATGCAACTCATAAAATGTCATAGTTTCCTACTATTTAGTTGACCATACAATTTAATATTAATAGACAATAAATATTTACTAATATACCTTGCTAGTGTTATTATCATTCAGTATTTAATAATTATATTGAGTTTGGAGCTGTATTTTTTTCAAGGAATCTTACTTTTTCTGTGAAAGATCCATAGAAAAATATTTAACCAAGTACCCAGAATATTTAGTTGTAGCTGGTACACTTTCTAAGACAATTAGGAATAGTGCTTCCTCAAGACCCAGCTATACCACTGCTAGGTATATACCCAAAGTTTGCTCAAGTACACAAAAGGGATATTTGCTCAACCATGTTTATAGCAGCATTATTTGTAATAGCCAGAACCTGGAAACAACCCAGATGTCCATCAACGGAGGAATGGGTACAGAAATTGTGGTATTTTTACATAATGGAATACTATTCAGCAATCAAAAAGGAGGAAATCATGAAATTTGCAGGCAAATGATGGGATCTAGAAAAGATCATCCTGAGTGAAATATCCCAGAAGGAGAAAGACAAACACGGTATATACTCACTTATATAGACCTATAAGATATGATAAACATAATGAAATCTATACACCTAAAAAAGATAATCAAGAGAGCGGACATGGGGTAAGATTATCAATCCCCGTTTAGAAAGACATATGGGATGCGCATTGAACATATGACAGGAGTCTACTGAGCGCATTTGAAAGACTCTAACTAGCAGTGTCTTCAAAGCAAAGACTCATGACCAAACCTTTGGCAGAGTACAGGGAATCATAAGAAAGAAGGGGAGTTAGTATGATGAGGAAAGGATAGGAGCTCCACAAGGACCAAATATATCTGGGCACAGGGTCTTTTCTGAGACTGACATGCAACCAAGGACCATGTATGAATGTAACCCAGAAACTCTGCTCAGATGTAGCCTGTGGTAGCTCAGTGACCAATTGGTTTTCCATAGTGAGGGGAACAAGGACTGTTTCTAACAGGAACTCAATGACTGGCTCTTTGGCCTCCCCACCCCCCAAGGGAGGAGCAGTCCTGTTAGGCCACGGAGGAGGGCTTTGCAGCCAGTCCTGAAGATACCTGATAAAACAGGATCAGATGAATGGGGAGGAGGTCCCCCCTATTAGTGGACTTGGCAAGGGGCACGGTGGAGATGAGGGAGGGAGGGAGGGACTGGGAGGGAATGAGGGATCAGGACAAGGCTAGGATACAGAGTTAATAAAATGTAACTGATAAGAAAAAAATAAAATAAAATAAAAAACAAACAAAATGAATAAAGTGTAATTAATAAAAGTTAAATAAAAAATTAAAAAAAAGAAAACTATAAAGCCAAGAAAAATAAGCAAATAGACATTTACAGAAATAACTTAAGTTACAAAAGGATTGATAGGTTTGAGGACAAATTAAATTAAAGCTAGGACTTCAGTATTTGGACAATACTCTCTAGTTTCATTACTTCCTTCTCTTCTCAATAAAGATAAAATTCTGAAAATAATGTAAGAGAGTTCTGAAAATTGGAAACAAGGTAAAATAAAGAATCCAGGGCATGGAGGAACCATAAGGTGCTTTGTTATTTACATAACAGCAAAAGCAGAAGACCACCTGATTTCAATGACATGTAACACTCAAACTAGCAATAAAAATAAATAAATTTAAAAAAACAGCATTAATAGCTTCTCCCTCCCTAAGAGTTCCATAAATATTTTTGGTAAATAATCTAGAAAGCTCTAACAACCACTTTGCAGCCAGGAAACTGCTCACCTTCCCAAATGAGACTGAACTTACCTGCTTTCCCAGAGACACCCACATAGAGTACTAAAGGAGAATACTGAAACAATCAGACTTCTCTGGGGAGCCTTTCTCTGTGTCCTATACACTACACAGTTTTGTGTGCCGCATACCAAACGAGGCTGCTAATCAGCATCATCAAGAGGAATTAAGCCACAACAGGAAGTCCCGGAAATGTGGTGAATCTATTTTTCTTTCTACAGATAATGGTCTACTGAGTGGCATTATACGAATGTTATCTTTATAAGTGCCTTGTTTTTCATCACTCTGGTGGCACAAAGAAGATTAGTAGAAACATCAAATGATTTTAGATCACACAAACAAAACATACAGAAATTACAGAATCACTGAAACCATAATCTTGTTAAATTTCTAGAGTTATGAGAACACAATGATTCCAGAGATGGCCGGAGACAGGCAAAAGGTTAGTTGAAGTCAACCTTGAGGCAGTGTCCAAGGTAAGGCACACCTTTCTTAGGAAAAGCAAAGGGTGCTGTTTTCCAAAGTTTCCTTAGGGAGGAGTAAGTGTTGCTTTAGGTCTTAAGTCAGTTGACATTACCATATTAGGTTAAAATACACTGTGTACTGAATAGTTTGGAGTTAAGGCAGATGTTTGCAAAGTTCTAAGCACATCTCCAGTTAAGGGTTGAATGGAAAATAACACAGAACAAAGGTCCTAGATAATATACGACTTATCGACGTGACAGTGGTCACCCTGTTCTGGGCCTAGGCAGCAGAGAAACTGAGTGTGTTCTTGCCCTGCTAAAGCCCTTTCATTTAGAAATTGGTTGTCTGGAAGGCCTGTTTCCAAGAGACATGAGCTTTCCAGTCATCTGATGTGACAAACCTGTAGGCGCCATCAGAATTTCTAAGCTAAACTGAAGTCGATGTGTATCTGTTAAAAAGATAAGAATGAAAGCCTGGAAAGATCCAGGCACCTGATGAAAATCCCTCAGTATACAAAAAACAGGGCTGTTGTAATCTGAGTGATAAAAGGTCGTCTACTGACACAAACACTGACTTGAGTCAGATGTTGGTATTATCTGACAAACAAGTTAAAACACATATTGTTAAAAAGCTTCAGTAAGCAGGTCCAAGTTATCGTAAACAACAGAAAATGTTTGTAGGATAGCTCAGCTGGTACAGTGCTTGTTTGTCACTGACTTTCATCCGTAATACTTAGTAAAATAATTTAAACATATTATCTCCAAGTTCATGGAACCTTTCTTCTGCTTAGTCTACAGGTTAACTGTTATGTTAAGTTTTAGTTCTGTTATTACATGACTCAGCTTCTTAATTTCTAGTAACTAGAATCTAATTGGTTCTTCTTCATCTTATTAGTCTTGTTAATATCGTCCTTTACTCATGTGTAATTTTCCTGGTTCAAATGCCATAGTCACCTATAACTTTTTAAATTTGTTGAAATTTTTATCTGGTAATTATATATTTTATTTCTTTATGGCTCCTTATTATAGATCAATTTTGTTATGTGATTTTTTTTTCTTTTCAGTGTTGCTTAAAGTCTTTATATATTTCAGTTGGTGTCTACATTTGGAAAAATAGCCCTTTCCTTCATACAGACAAGTTTGCATGACCTAACTTTACCTACAAACCTGGCTAAAGAGTTCAAGTGTCTGTTGTTTTCCACAGACAGATTTGTTTCTCCGGAAACTGTTAATTTCTGTCTTCTGCTGTCTGACTCTGTCACCTTCTCATAATAGTTTTTCTATTGGAGATGTGAATAAACATCCATTTACCCCATCTAGGGCACCACCAACAGAACAAAGTTTGATCTCAAAGTTTGAGCACCATGCTGTGTAAGAAATATATAAGAACATGTTTGTGGTTTTGCACAAAATCAGATTTTATTGAACAAAAAAATTTCAAGCAGTTTCAATGGAGGTGATTGCCAGACATTCCCAGTTTCTGTGGTAACCCTTGTGAAGGAAACATGGGTTCTTATGTTCTAACATTATTTAATAATATTTACTTTCAAATTGTACAGTAAGTGCATCTGTCTGCCTGTCTGTCTTTCTCTCTGTATCTCTGTCTGTATGTGAAGATGTATAAATGTTGCACAATGACTACAATGTTCAAAGGGGCAAGGAATTTTGAAGAGGACTGGGAAGGCAGTATTGAGAAACAAGTCAGGATGTAAGAGTCTGTGGGCTGATAAGATAAAGAACCAGAAATGGCCTACAGGGAAGAAGTTTCTGTTATGAGTCAGGCAGCTGCATGTCAGAAGTTTGAGAGGCAAACTGCTGAGTTGAGTCTAGCTGGCTACAGAGGTGAAAGGGCAGGAACACAGGGGCGAATGGAAGGTATGTCAAGATGGATGAACAAGAAGCGTGCAGACAGCATAAAGGGCTGCAACATTTTAAAGTGTATCTCCTTTGATTAAATTATTTTGCCCTCTTTTGTAAACCAGTCTTGCTCTAAGGTAGCACCTTCCTGGGATAGCAACCTCATTATAAATTTAGATGAATAAAGAGAAGGTTAAAAGACAATGCAATAAGGAATGAGGAATGCATGGCCTGAAATTTAGCCTCCATGATGGTCTTCTGGCTTTCTAGGCTTATAGGAGAATATAGGTTTTGGTGTTACCTATGATGAAGGATGGCTACCTGCTGTGGTAAGCAGGCAGTGTATAATAGTTTTAGGTTTAGGATGTTAATTATGAGGGATTCTTTGGAAGATACGCTCCCTTTCCTAAAATGGGGATGGGATCATGGATAATATGGAAGACATATTTAGAATTATTGTAGATACTTTATTACTGTTCTCTTGCCTAGAGTTATGTCAGGTTAGTTCAAGAGGTTCAGGGGTTGTAAAATTATCCCAGGTGGGAGGGAACCCAA